CCGGTCCAATTGTGATGGCACCGAGGTGATTGCAATGGCTAATGCGATACATAGAAGAGAATATCTCGAAGCTTGGCACTGGAACCCGGCTAGTATTAACAGACACGTAGACCTTGATTCACATTATGCCGGTTTCCACGCCTGGTCCACTACGTTGCGCCCAATTTGAAATAACAGCAAGCCGTCCGTGCTCGTTCAAGTAGAACTCCACTGGTTCTGAATCCCCGCCCATCCCCCGGAACACGTGGCCCACAATTCAAACGTTAACACCTCCCTTTTACCTGCAAAACTTATCGCCGCTGAATTCACGTCACCGTAACCTCCCTCCCCAACCCAACCTTACAAAACCTATAGTGTGACAAACCGAGCCCCCACTTTTCATTTAGTCTGACGACAAACAAGTGATACCTGTTCGAAAATTCACGAGTACAACCCGATTTTCCAAAGGTCTCCTTTCTTTTCATAGTATACATAGCCAGATAGCCAGGAAAAAGGTCTAGCTCCTTTCAAGTTAGCCATGCCTAAATTGGAATTCGGTAAATATTGCCGTCTAAAAATGTGTTCGCTTATACATAAAAAAAATACTTACCTCTGGAAATTTAGAAAAGTTGACCCAGTACATATGTATAATTTCGGTACAAATTCAATTCTACAGAATAATTTAGGCATTTATTCAAACAATTCCGAAGGCAGACATAACCGTAAAAGGCCCTTGTGATAAACACCAATTGTTAAATTGCTCTTATTAAAAGCTTTTGGATGGCATTATTTACATTGAAAAAGCCAAGGGTGATCAACCACAAATACAGTTGAAGCTGCGAATTGCACTTTGCTATGAATATCGGGAATCTCCTGCCAAGTTTATCCGCTGCGTTTGTTGGAGACTTGGTTAATGAGACAATAGCAAAAGCATGAAGTATTTTCAATTTTTTACTGCCATGAAAGGCCTCAATGTTTCAGGTGCACTAAGGCCGGCTAATATTAAAAAGTATCACGGATAATAACCTATGGACTGATTGCATGCACCGAATGATTCATTTAAAGCGTGCACTATTTTATTTATAGTTTCATCCAGTGGGCTCCTTGTGGCAACGTTGACCTCGTTCATTGGGGGATTTGTCATCCCTATCGCTTGGTGTGTCTCTTTCTGTGAAAGCCTGTCGGACGGGGAATCCCAAGCCGTGTGGTCAGCCACTCTAGCCATCGACAATCCTCTGATTCCTTGGCCCGAACTCTACTTCCGGCAAGTTTTCTCCGTTTTATTTTGTTTATAGGAAATATAAATCCATACTACGAGAAGACATCTCCTGAAAATATAAATGTTCCGATATAAAATTTCCTACTTAAGAAGTACAAGAACAAATATTGTGGGCATTTTTTCTGTCAAATACATTTGAAGTGAAAAGTTATTGAAAATCAATGAGAAAATGTCATACCACTTACGTTGCAGAGAAAGCCTTTGCATTTTGCAAAAAAGGAAGCTCACTGCAGAGTCGGCATCCTGAAGTTACTCAAACATCTTCCGATGAGGATGCACAACAAGCAGTATTATGATGAGAAATCATACTAAGTAATTTTGGTTGACTTTTCCTGAGATAGATGCTCGAATGTAGTAAGAGCACTAACTGACCAGCTGTCTTCCTCCAGTCAGCTCTATCTCGTCACCCACAAGCTCTGTCTCGATAAATACTTCATCTTGTACTAAAGTATGTCGTGAATAAAACAGACAGGGTTCATTTTTGGTGCTGAAGATTAAAGACAATAGGTTCTATCGTTTAACGGCGTTCAGTGCCACGAATCCTTACCCGATGTGATTGTTTATTGTTATTGGCATTTCATAACCAAACAGTGATTCAACACCTATGAAGAGCACTTACTGCCTCAAACTTTGTCCTGCCAGGACGAAACATGAGGAAGAGTTTGCATTTTTAACTTTGTAAACTTTCCATTAACAAATGGCGTTTAGAGGACAAAGTCTTTCTATCCAAACGCATAAATGCACGTGATACATTTTAGTGAGCTGGATCTGCGCTTCTCGCCAAGGCTGAGCGAGGGCAAACCACCTCTGGCTGAGGTGAAACGGTCCCTACGTTTGGTGCGAAAAGTAACCATTTTCGGCTTTGCAGGCATTTTTACCTGGCTTTTGATTATTTGGCCGATCTTATCTCCGAAAACAAAGGAATTTTCCAACATGCAATTTTATTTATGGGTGAGTATTGCTCCCTATTTCCAATTACTCTGATCTATCACATTTTCCAATTGACGTTTATGACTATTTAAACAATACTTTTCCCCAATCGGCAGGGTCTTATTTTACTCGAACACCAATGTTCGAGTATATTTAGGTTTTCGCTTACTGTTATTCACGAATATCTATTTGACTGTACCTGAAGACTTTTGGAATTCGCCTATGGAATTTTCTCGGAATGGCAGTCTGCATAATTGTGCCCGTGGTGCTTGCCATCACAAAGTACTTGAATGTCCACAAAGACAAGGACGAAGACGCGGTAATTACTTCTTCGGAACCTCAATGGAACAAAAATGAGAAAAGTGGCTCTTCTGCAAGACTTCGGTGAGTACTGACGGTCTCGTTATCAAATACAACATACCATTTTTGTGAATACTAGTGGTCACAAAATAACCCCAGCACGCACAGTTTATGTGGTAACCTAATGACGTAATGACGACCCGTTTAGAGAAACCGGAGATACTATTAGGTTGAATGCTGATAGAAACGAACTGGTTATTTCCAAAGCAGTTCAGAAGAAGCAGCTGTGAGCGCCGGAACAAGACTTTTACAGGCTTGACATTTCGGCTTTTAGCTCGAACCCATCATCTGTGTTTCAAATCGCGCTCCTCTAACAAATGCCGAGCATGGGGATGTGGCATCTTGGCACGCGTAGGAGCAGGCTCCCTCCGGATGCGCCGGATGCTGCGTCCGCGATTCCTAAATAACTCTAGATAGCATATAGTGTTCGGTGAGGAATGAGAGTGAAAGATACAATGAGACCGATTGCGGTAGGTAGCAGGCTCTCTCCGGATGCGCCGGATGCCGCGTCCGCGTTTCTTAAGTAACTCTAGACACGGGATAGGGGTGGGTGAGGAAATAAAGGGATATATAGAATGGGAGCGATTGCAGTAGGCGCTACCCAAGTCTGCCGGCACTTAAAATGACCTCCCGCGCAAGTCGCCATGTTTTCTTCAAGTCTACTGAAGCGAGCGGTGTATATCGTTAAGCTCGGTGTTCCAACTGTGGACATGGCATTTCACTTCATTCGGAAATTGCGTTCAACATCCATGCTATTCGATCAAGTTGTTTGGGCACTAAGTGGTGCGTAGGAGTTGAGGAGAGTATGATCACTCTTCTTGTCCGTCTGTGTGTTTAGGTAGTACTTGTATTAACAAGTGAGGTGTTACCTACATGAGATCAAGTAGAGAGTGAATAAATCAGCCGACAGCCCCGAGCATTGTTTATATTGTACAAATGCATTAAAGCCCCTGAACGTAAGACATCATTTGCTACTCCTATTTATGGCAGATTCAACGTGAGGACTTCCGGAAAGTGTAGGCGGTAGGTAACACAAATATATCAATATACGATGTTTAATGAAATGAATTAAATGCAGATTAAATTATGATG